ATTTACTTTCAAATGTTCATACTTTAGAGACTATTTTGATCGGTTTCCTTAGACTAACAAATTCTCTTTTTCTCCATGAACAGTTTGACAGTCAGACTAAAATTGTCCTCACAGCCCCATCTAAGAAGAGAGGATCTTCGGCTCAGGTCCAGCAAGACCCTTAAATTTGTCACATCATATTTCCGACAAATGATCTGCAGCAGTTTTAAGATCACAAAGTGCTTTCAAAATTAAAAGAACTATTTCTTAAGTAGTTAGTATGCTTTTGCTCTCTTTATATAGGCATTTTAACCAAAAGTGCTTTTAGATTCTTCCTAGTTCTGCATCTCAAAAAAACAAAACAATATTTTAGCTGAGATTTAAAAAAAAAAACAAACAATGCAGTTCCAATGCACTTTACTCTCCTTGCAAGCATTCAATATGTCAATGGCACAGAACAGAATTTCTAGAAGTGCTTGAGCTAACTTAAACAGTTACAACTTGTAAAAGAAACAATACAAGTAATCTACTACCTCAATTTCTGTGAAGTTTTACTATTATGAGATGCCACGACAAATACACAAGCCCTCCGTTAGAAGCCCTTCAAAATCTCATAGAATGCATTTTCCCTTCCTCTACTTGACGTTTAAAAATAGGAAAAGAAATCCAGTAAAATACTAGTATTTCATACAAAGTGTCTATTTTGTTCTTATATTATCCATTGCATGTAACAATTCCAATGAAGAAGAGAAGGCCACACACCAGAGACACTGACTTATCATCAAAACTTACTTTAATGTTACAACTGAAATACGTAGTTTTAGTTTAGAATGTACAACGTTATTTGCTCAGAAATGGACTATTTTATGGAACACAATATTTTATTTATTTTCTGAAGCAAGGTTAACGCACATCAGTGAAACCTCTAAATAATCATGATAAATCTAAAAACTTTTTGTTTGGTTGTAGTTTTTTAAAAAAGCAATACACCTGGATTTTAAAGGATGGCCTCCTTTATCTAAATGATATGGAAATGTAGAAATTCTCCTACTGTCAGAACTACACAGCACTGAAACGCATAAAGGCAAAGACACAAACCCCACACACAGCCTACAGAATAACAAAGCCTTATATGTGAATTGCAATTTGTCTTAGTGATCAAATTTTTGGAAGTCCTAACAATCTTTCTATTCAACTGCAACGGCTGAAAGCCAAAGTTACCAGCCATACCTGTTGAAGAGTTGCCTTGCTGTGCCCATCTATACAGTATCAGCATCTTACTCCATCCCAATTGCACCACTGCACAGAAGGCACCTGATAAGACTATTTAACCTAAAGCAGCCTATTTGCCAGGGTTCGGTATCAGCCTTGGAACCCCTCATTTTCCTCCCAGTCATTATCCACCACTTACCTAATACTACAAAGGATGGATCAAAGTATCAACAATACAAGTTTTACCCAATATTTTCCCTATAATAATTCCATCTTTTAAGCAAAACTGTAACTATTTTTTCCTCTCTTCCCGAAAGTAAGTGTGTGGGAGTCAGTGAGAAGCACAAGACTTGTGAAGTTCCTGTGCTTGACATACTTAAACTTGACACGCACCACAGAGATTTCTCACTAGATAACTTCCACGTACTGTCACTGTAAAGATGCAGACTCCATTCTTTCTATTCTATTTTCGTGCCTTAGACTTTTGGTGAGAGACATCAACATTTTATGAGAAGAGGGCATGGACAAGAGAACCACGCTATTCAATGAAACTGAAAAGCAGAACATGAATGAATGGATCATTGAAGTATTAAGTGAAGAAATTCTGAATCCCAGACAGCCAAAAAAAAAAAAAAAAAAAGAGTGGGAACAAAGTTAAGATAAAAGAGTTTTGTATTTACATTTACTTTTAGGATGTCAAGTGCTCTTCAAAATAATAAAAAACAAAAAACAAAAAAAACCACCCACACCACACACTTAGAGTCAATTAGCTAAGGGGAATTCCCAGCTTCCATGGAAATCATAAGGCAAAAAACTGGTTTGGTAATTGCCTTCTGTTAAAAAAAATATAATTCCTCATGTTGCTAGTCAGTTGCAGCTATCTTGCTTCACAGTTCTCAAAACCAAGGTATCACATTTACATAAAGTGACCCCGTAAGAAAAGTCCGTTAAGTCCCCAAATAAGATCTATGAATATAACAAAGAAAAACCACAAACACAGCTTTTAGATACAACTGAATGCTGGGACTGTACAACTACCAAACACTTCATGTGTCAGAAATACAGAAATCACCAATGCTGAGCACAGATGGTCATTATTTCTAAACAACCTAGAGGGAAAAGGACAGAGACCACAGCTGAGCTGATCCAACAATCATTTCCTTCCTGTGATCACACATTTCATTGTGGTTTGGCAGAGTTCTGCCAGGACTGGAATAAAACAATGCTTTCTTTTTAACTTCTTTGGTTTCGATGAAGTTTTCTCCTCATACCTTAATAACAGTACAAAACATCCTCCAGATGTTCCCGAAGCTTACATTTCTAGGAATCAAATCTTAGGATAATTCAGGCTGGAAGGGACCTCAGGAGGTCTATAGTCCAACCTCCTGCTCTAAGAAGAGTCAAGTGTGAGGTCAGACCAGGTTGTCCAGGCTTTGATGCAATCAGGTCTCGAAAACCTCCAAGGGCGGGGATTGCACCAGCTCTTTGAGTTGGTCCAATACTCAATTGTTCTCATGGTAAACACATTCCCAATATGCAGTTAGAACATCTCTTGATTCAGTCTATGTCATTGCCTCTTGTCCTGCTGCCATGCACCACTGTGAAGACACTGGATATCCCATCTTGATGAGCTCATAGGTATGCAAGACTGTTGTTCAGGTCCCCTGAAGTCTTCTCCAGGCTGAACAACCCCAACACTCTCAACCTCTCATCACAGCGCAAGTGCTCTAGCTCACTCACCATCTTAGTGGCCCTCCATTGAACTTGTTCCAGTTTATTGATGTCTTTCTTGGAGCCCAGAACAGACTTTTTCCTTCTGCAGTCAACTGTCTTGATAACTAAGAGGGATCCTTCTATATCAAGCATTGGAATAGGCTGCCCAGGGAAGTGGTTGAGTCACAATCCCTGGTAATTAAAAGGCACGTAGACATGACGCTTAGGGACATGTTTTACTGGCGGACTTGGCCGTGTCAGGTTTATGGTTGGACTAGATTATCTTAAAGGTCTTTTTCAACCTAAATGATTCTATGATTCTGTATCACTGTCAATGGATAATGCTGCTTTCATTCATTTCAAAGGTTATTAACCAAATAAACATTTAATGCAAGATTGGTAACAATAACATTAGCAATAAAGCTACTTGAACGTACCATTGTCTGTCAGTAGTTAATTACACCAGCCAGTATCTCCCAGTTCAGCACAATGTAAGCAAACTGAAATATACTAAAGCTTGCAATTGCAGCTGATATTTAAAAGTCACATGGAAAACATCCTTCGCTACATCAACTTTTGAATAAAACAAAAGAGAAGCCTGTATTACCATCCCACAAGTCAGGCAATCTCCCACACTAGGGCTGTTATAGCTTTGGAGCAATTCATTCTCCTCACGACCATGTCAGAAGATTGATTTAAGAATTCAGAGCATTGTAAGTGATCAATAGCATTATTATATTAAGATACAAACTTCAAAAAGAGATCTATCAGTCAATTTGGGGATCCATTACATGAGAAGAAATAGTTTTTTAAATGTGCCTGATAACATGCACCTTCTACACCTTCTATACATTTTGCTTTTCTTAACTGCTCCTTGCCATTTAACATACAATCCTTGACTGCAAAAAACAAAACCTACTACTACCAAAACTTGATACATATTCTTGGTCTTCTGGCACAGAACAGCTAGTCAAGCAGTAGAAAAGACTAATGGAGGTCTCCAGATCTATATTTCTGGAACAGTGATATGCCTGGGATACAGCATACCTGTTAAATACAGCTGACATTGAAGAGAACCAACAACAACCTCCATTTAGAACAGAAGGACAGAATATTCGGGGGACACAGAAATTGAAGACTTCTGAGAATAAAGGACATCTCTTAAACACAAAAAAATTTCTTCCAAATAGTATTTTAAAAGATTATTCAGAGAGAATTAGAAACTAAAAACAATTTCTGAAGATTTTGCACCTACAAGTGCACACAACAAACCTAAAAACACAACTGTGAAACTCCCACAGAATCAGTTGGTTTATAGAACAAAATGTATACTAAATTCTCCAATTAAAAACCTGTAAAGTAGTTTCCGTGCTTTTTAACCCACCTTCCCACAGCAGGGAATTAATCCCTCCAGGGGGATGCAAACAAACTTCAAAGAGAAGATTATACCCAGACACTAGTACTGTACAATGTAATGTTTATGGTCAAATTTGTTCAGATTTTCTGGCACTAGAATCCAGGTCAGATGTGCAGAAACAAAGACTAGTTATTAAAAGGGCTCCTGCAGTTACATCAAATAGTCGTGATGGCACAGAGCAGGAGGACAAGCCAAACTGTATTCCAGTTACAGCTCCTATGGAGGCTTTGGCAGCAAAGAGTTGTGGCTATTTGACTTTTGCAGACTGTAACAAACAAATACAGATATAAAAGGAGGTAAGTGGTTTCCAGTCAATAAAATATAAAAATCCTTTCCATCAATTCATTATACCATACGCACAATACACACATGATTGTTTCATGAAAGATAAAGGGGGTAATACTTTAGTATATGTTGACTAAGCATAATTATTTGATTTTGACATCCCTCTTCTCATAACATTCTAGAGACTGATCTCACAAAACAGTATCTTGAAGTAAATTCTGGAATTACAAATTTCAACCTTTGCTTTTCCTGCTTATTTCCAAAGTTCTTCAAGTTTAGAAGAAAGTGCAATAAAAAATTCACAAATATACTTACATGTTCATTCTCTCACAACACACGGTTCTTAAGAATAATTTTAGCCAATAAATAGGTAGAATTGAGTGCAAAACAGTACCTTTCCCAATGCAACTGATTCCTGAATAGGTTACTTCTGCGTACACTTCAAAGGTAGTTTCAGGATTTTGTCTGAAAGGAAAAAAAAACAGCTTTTAGCGCATTGAGAATCTTTTTTCATGTGTGCTTTCAATTACTCGGTCAAAAAGCGTTGTGGGAATGCCTGTGTTACAATGACGACTTGCCCAACCAGATTTCTTGTTTTATAGTCTGATGATTTCACATCAGACTTTTCTGCCTTACAAGTATGTAACGAGACACAACTGAAGCTCAGATGAGCCTACGAACAGGGTGTCTAACAAACTCCCAGAGAGAAAAAATAAAATCCAAACAATAGAAAACAAGCACACAGAACCTTTAAGTCAATTCAGTTGCTGTGACTGGCCTGCATTTCTAGATACTAAGATATCACAGGCCTATTATTCAGAACTTTGCCAGAAAAAGAAAACCATGCCATTTACAGTTATTTCAGTTCTCAGCCATAATAGGAAATTTGTTTACAAGTGCAACTTGCAAAAGCAAGTTCTTTTTATTGCACCTTTAGTTTCACGTGAGAAAGTAAATTACCTACGGGCTAAATACAGGGACCTTTTTCAGGAAAAAAAATAAAATCCTGAATACTCTTTTTACCAAACTGAAAACAGAGTCACATTGTCCAACATGGGACAAACAAGTGAGATTCACATTTTCATTACTGTGACCCTTGAGTTCAACTTCATGTCACCTATTTACTCAGGAAAAAGAGGCGGGGGGGAAGCTGCAGTCAAGAGCATGCAAAGCAATTTCATGTACACATTACTGGGAAACTTAAGAGGCTGCATTTAGGATGAAGACAGTTCCCTTTTTTAATACCTGTCAAAATATTTCTACCTTTTTGTCAAAAAAAGAGACCATGGTGAAGAATACTATAAACACACAAGGTTTCACCTCATGAAACTCCAGAGTCTTAAAACCAGAAAGCTGACAGATACATGCAAAATAAGGAAATGGGTGCAATAGTAAATTATTATACCAAATTCAGCTACAAAAAGTAAGTGAAGCTTGAGGAAAGAGTATTTTTAACTCTGCTCCAGAGCTATAAATATACTAGTAATAAAAGTAAAAAGTTAATGATATATATAACTTAAGAAAAAAAACCCCAATATTTAGTGTATATTTTCAGTTCTTACTAATATAACTCCATAAGTGAGCCTCTGGAACTACATTTCATAAGGAGCATGTCAAGGCAGCAGGTGATTATATAAGAAAGCATATTTTGAGTTAAATTCCTGACTCTAACAATTTTAGCTCCTCCAAATTTTTTTATAAGATTAAAGAGAATCACACATTAGACTGTAATTGTTTAGTTACTGAAATAAGGATCTTGTAAGTCTGAGCATGTGATATTTTATTCTTAGGTTTTCTGGTTAAAACCAAGAATCAAAACTGCATAATTACTGCTCTAAATTTATGACTGCCTGTACAGTGATAATGTTGTCTTCTATGTGTTAATGTAAACTATCTAACATTAGAAAATTGTTGAGGTATAATTAACTTGTGAATCTGGTTAGCTCCCTTACAGCTAAGGATGAAAATAAGGACAAAACCCATATGTGTGTGTGTGTATATGCTAGAATTCCTACCTGAATAATAATTTAAAAAATGAAACTCATCTAACCCAGTATCTCAAAGCAAATATATAAACATGTCAAGGAGTTCAGCCTACTCTTCAGAGAATTTATATTATTTTTAATCTTACTTTAACACCAAAAGGGATTACACAAAACATTTCTAACCGTGCCACGGGCCCACTTAGTGTAACTCAAGTGGCTCTTAGCCAAACCCCACACCTATTTAAATTGACAGAAAAGCTACCCTTGGTTTCAGTAGCACAGGATCACACTCCACAGTTTTACAGAGCACCTCTCAGGAGCAACAACAGTTCACAATTCAATTAATGTTAATTTCATTTGCCACCAGTTCCCAGCTGATTTGCCTTAAGTAGCCATTTTTCAGAAAACTACATACCTAAGTTCTGAGAAATCTAAAATCAGCTATTATTTTGCAGTATAATACAAACTTGCATAATTCTCTCTGTGCTGCTTACAGTCACTGCATATAATCTGCTTCAAATATTGAGATTCTTAGCTAAATTCCCACAACCACGGCACAGGAGAAGGATGAAATGATATCCACTTAACACCAGAAATGTATTTTTTCTTCTATATATATTGCTGTGCAGCCTTATCTTACCTTCCTTGTTTATGTCTTTATTTTTAGCTCACTGTTTCCTTAATTAAAAGTTTATATATTTTATAATATTTTTACTGCTAATGGGTAAAATAACAAACACCTTTTTAGTATTATGTTAGAGTCTGTGTTCAAGTTCTTTAGTGAAAACACTGTATAACACAGCTGTCAAGAGCACATACTGTGTACCAAACCTTTCAGACAAAAAGACATTAAATTTTGTATTTTAATATTCTATGACAAACGTCCACTTATTTCTATGAACAGTGAAATTAAAGTAGCTTTGCCAAGTCAGAAAGTTAGTATTAAAGGCTGCATTCAACAAGCTAACACCTCAGTATGAGAATGAAGTCATTGTTGAATTCAGAATATTTTATAACTTTTCAGTGGAATTAAGGAAACAAGTCACTATGAGACTTCATACAGTTTGCAAACATAGAATAAACATGCATCATAGTATGTATGTTTTGCAGTCCATTTTTATGACTATTAAACTACCCTGCAGACATGTAATGCCACCTGTGCATTGTATTGAAACCTCAACCCACTGAAATCATCCACAGCATTATAAACTTAAAACACACACAAAGTTCTCTTTCCTCCCAAGAGCCTCCAAATAATCACTTAAAGACCCACAGTCAGTTATCAAGTGAACATTCAGATGCAATAAAAAAATACATAGGACCCATATGTGCAAAAATACGTAGTTCCCCATTTATTTGATAACTGGAAAACTTCAGAAAGAAATGCAATACTTTTTTGTAAATAGAAATTTAGGAAGGAGCTCTATGAGAAAAGGCAGCTTTTTGTATGTTACTTGTATGAATTACTTAAATCTCTCCGATGTAGAAATAGCTTTAACATCAAGCAATTGAATAATTCAATCTTACATTGAAGTAATATAATATTTCAAATAAGACATTTAGGTAATTTTTACAATCAAAATTATTAGTTTTACCTAACTACAAGAGATTTGTGCACAATAAAATTAAATAAAATTCCTCCCCCAAGCTGTATGTATGCACGTACACACCTTACATATCTAAAATATCTAAAGCCTACTTCAACTGTCAGCAGCATTTTCGTCCTACACATAGGAAAATCTAATAGCACTTATGACCAAAAGAATCATTCTGCTTAAAAACTGAGGCATGAGAGGAGCCTGAAACTGTTTGATAATTAGTTATCCTGTAACAAGATTTTTTTTTTTCTTTTGCAAGAGTTGAACAACTAGTAGCAGAAATCTGTACTTGGTAATTCAGTTCAGAAACTGTACCTCATTCCTTGATTATTTTCTATATATTTAACTTTTTCTGCCTGGTATTCCTTAGGTAGATAAAATTACATTTCACTATATAGCAAACTTTATGTTAAATATCCGAAAACATTCCCAGATTAATATTAGGGATCTTTTCTGTCATCACTGAAATACAACCACCTCTGGAAAGGAATATGCCAAGTTTTTTTACAGTGCAATGCAATTCTGTTAAACAGACTGATACTGACACATTATTTAAAATAACAATAATAATAATAATCCTGTCTCTTTTATAATGCCTTGAGTACTGAAAGACACCAGAAGGGATAGCAGCCAGGTTAACGAGATCCCTATTTTACATTACCTCACTGGCACAGAGTGCCCTGCACGTACCGTATGACATGCTCCAACACGAAGCTTAACCCAACACTGTAACCCAATACTCAATTTACCTTTTTTTTTCGCCTCTAGCTACACACAAGCCAAAAGCTTACAGGATTGCTGGCAACTTCGTGATTTCTCTCACTTCAGTCTGATGTAGCTACTGATAATTTCCTCTAAGCAATCTTTCACTCAAATGACTCATTACTATACATCCATCAAAAATATAACTGACACATATGTCCAGGTTTCACACAGAGTTTATCACAGTGTGTGCAAGTGATCATGTGCCAAGGAGTTTAATATCCCTCATAATTATCAATCCATAGCAAGAAATCTGACTACTGGATTTTCACTAGGGCTCCAACATACGTTGGCAACACCGCTAAAGGAGACATGCCTCACTATATGCAACTATCAAATAGTTTTCTCATTCACGCTCCCACCTGCCCCAATAAGGGAGCTACTTACCAACCTGAAAATCTTTGCTGGATCAAACATCCACCTCAGACTCAGACAGGATCACTCATTCTTTACATATTTCAAGATTGTTTTGAAATTCTGTCCTTTCTCTGCTTGGGCACAGTGTTCTGCCCGATGTTGGAAAAAAGCAATTTATTAATTGTTGCTCAAGGCAAAGTTGCTTAGCCACACAATGGACAAAATGCTTTCTCACAACATGCAAGATGAACATAAAGTAATGCTTATAGTGGGCTATCACCTATGTTTTCCTGGTGACAGAGAAAGACACAGGCTTTCTCTGTAATCCTAGAAGATAAGGTCATGCTGAAACAGACTTTGCACAGAAAAAGTCCTAAAGTCCATCGACTGTTCCAAATACTTCTAACTGCTACATCTCCTCACAGACACCAGTGAAGTTTCCAGTTGAAGTGTCTCATCTGAGTGACTACATTCACATTCAGCAAAGGGGATACAAAGCCATTAAATGTCAAAGTAGCAGTCAAAAACCCAAAGATCCTAAACACAGCATATGGATTCAGTATGTACACAAAAGAAACTATACTTTAAGTGAACATCAGCCTTTGAGTAGATTTAAGATAAGATCATCATAAGAAGTCATTTCAGACCATAATCTTGAAGTGACCCAAGCAAGGGTGATGGCTGCAAGATCTGCAGGTGCAAGTTACAGATGCAACCTGCTCTGCTGTCAAAATAGTAACCATTTCAGATTCCAGCTGTATTTGAAAGTACTCTAAGAGTTTATCTAGTTTCTCAGACTTTTGATTTTCTTGTAGCAACAGTTGAGAACCTGTATGCCAAAAAAAAAGTGCAAATGTTATCCCTGCAGGCTCTCCAGGAGGAGGAAGGCTGTTTTCTGGAACCAACCCATCACCTCAGTGCTAGCATTACAAGCACTCATTACCCACTTACACTTCCCTAAAACACTCGGCCGGACAAACACACGTTTATGTCTCTCCAACCTACAGGCTCAGGAACGTAAAGATGTGACACCACGCTAAAGACAACACAAACTATGTTCCCTCCAGTCTCACAGTCAAGTTAAACAAAAGAGGTGAAACATTAAAGACCCACTTGAAGAACACTGTGTTCAAGAAGAAAAAGCAATTGCTCAACAGCACCTACTGAAATTGCTGAATAAAATACAATTTCACTGGATGTCTCCACTCTGTCACACCTTTCATGCACAAAGATGTCAGCACTCTCTGCCTGGTGATAGCTTTATTACACCTCTACCTGTCTCAGAGGAATTGAATTTGTCTGGAACGGTATATGAATGAACTGAGATCTTTAACGTGACAATACCAAACATACCAACAGGGCTTACCAATAAATCAACCCCCAGTTTTACAAAAATTAAAACAATATTGAGGCCATGGAGCTGCAGGCCCAATACATGAATCACTTGCACCACTCTTCTCCTTCCCCTTGCTAATGCACTTCCACGATACCACAGTCCACTATCCACCTTCCCTTCAGCACACCCTCACCTAGGCAGGAGGCCGTGCGCTCTCTCGATGCCACCACACCCCCAAAACAGCCCTCAGCAGTGCTGGCAATGGAGCCCCCCACCCCATCCCAGCAGCCCCAGTCCCTCCTCCAGGCCTGCACCCATAAAACTCCACTGCCCTCACAGCCTGGCCCTGCGTGCTCCCACACCGAGAGCTGAAGCCAGGGAGAAAGAGAACAAACAGACCAGGGCTGAGTATGAGGGCGGCAAACGACACTCTCCTCCGCTCCCCGGGGCAGGGGGGACGGGGGAGCTCCCCGCCCCGGGGTCCGGCCGCCGAGCTGAGGTCTGACGGACGGGGCCCTCTGCCCCGCCGCCTCCTCCCTGCCCGGCCGCCAGCTGGCCCGGGGGGGCGGGAGGCACTCCTTCCCCTTCCTTCTCCCCTTCTTCTTCCTCGCCCTACCCCGAGGCCTGCACGCTCGGCCGGGGTCTCGCCCGCGCGGCCTCACACGGAGCTGGAAGGAGGGCGGGGAAGTCCCCTTCTCGCTCTCCACAGCCCTCCCGCTTTCCTGAGGGCCTGCAAGCGGGGCTGGAGAGCTCCGGGGGGCACTCACTTGATCCTGGATCCCATGGTCTCTGGGGGGCCGCATAGGCCCGGGCCAGAGAGAGAGACAGACACAGAGGCAGGGGGCGGGGGCCGGAGCTCGGTGGGCTGCGCTCTCTCCGCCGCTCGCCCCCTCACTCCATCCCGGCCCGCGCCGCCGTCGCCCCAGCCGAGTCACGGCGCGGCGCGCGGGGGCCGCCGGGAGCTGTAGTGCGCCGG